GGTTATGACCCAAACACAAGACATTGTTTATATGGTTTAGACGCAGATTTAATAATGTTAGGTTTATGTACACACGAACCACATTTTTCATTATTACGCGAAGAGGTAAAATTTGGCAGAAAAGCCAATCGAAAAAGGTCAGCCCCAGAAGAAATTACATTTTACCTATTACACTTATCGTTAATGAGAGAATACCTTGGGTTGGAATTTAAAGATCTCGAAACATCGAACCAACTCGCTTTTAAATACGACATCGAAAAAATCATCGACGATTGGGTTCTGATGGGATTTTTAGTCGGAAATGATTTTATTCCTCATCTCCCTTATTTACATATTGGCGAAGGAGCTATCCCGGCGCTTTATAAAACGTATATGAAGGTTTTACCAACTTTTGATGGGTATTTAAACGAATCGGGAACGTTGAATTTACCACGATTTGAAAAATTTTTAGAAGCTTTAGCTGAAGTTGAGTTTGAGCATTTCTCAGACCAATGTGCTGATTTAAAATATTTCGAAGCTAAAACTGGTAGAAAATTTGGAACAAGAGTATTAATTAAATCAATTTTTTATGATTTTTTTTTTGTAATTTTATTAATTAATTTTAGGGGAAATTGGAAGAATGGGAGGACGATGGGGATGTTGTGGAATTTGAGGCGTTAGAACCAACAAAACCTATTAATTCGGAATTAGCTGCGCTTATTAAAAATACGGATGATATGGTGGGTATATACAGGATGTTTCACATAACTGGTTCGTTAGAACTTTTATAGAGGTTCCACCATTCATACAGTTTTAAAATTTTGGTAGGATGGGTTGTTCATTCAGAACTTTCAATCTAAAGTATTTTCAAAATGGGTGCCACTTCCGGTCTACCGGAAGTGGACCATAACTTCGTTATTTTAAGTTTTTATTACAGATTTTAATTGTATGTAAAAAAATATGTTAATTTTCATAAAAGTAATTGGTACCTAGCGTTTTTCGTTTTCGAGTTATTTTGGTTTTAAGCTTTTTTTGGTAAATCTCAACATGTTCTTTAAAACCCCATATCTCAGCCAACGTTCATTCAAAAAAGATCTACATTGGCAGGATTACTCTTCAGATGCTGTCAAAGAGATTGTGATTTATTGTACCAGAGTATCTTATACGCGCTGATCAAAAATTGAATTACCGTTTCTCCATATTCAACCGCCAGAAAGTCGAAAATTTTAAATGGAACGCTCTATATTTTATTAGCCTACCCGAAAGAGAATTTAATTCTCTACAATTTATCTATAAATATTCCTATACCTATTTATTGTAGTTTCTCTCATATTGGGCAATTTATCAAAACATGCGGAAAACGCAGGAAACCATTTGTATTTTTATTAGAAGACCATGACATTTTGACAGTTTTTTGTTTAATTTATTTCTATTATTATTTGTGCTATTAACTACAATTGATAATCTTTTAGTTACCACAAATAACAAATAGAAGATGCAATAAAATACAATCAAATATTTATTTTGTTGTCTTCATTATTGGTGACCGGAAATATGCGGTTTCTTTTGGTCTTGATATGTCCAGAACTAAGAAAATCTTCTCCATGATGTTCAATGACTTACACACGTCATCAAATATAACTAATGACAACAACAACATAAACATGGACCAAAAACTGTCAAAATTCCATAGCTTTCTAATAAAAAAAACCTGCATTTCGTGCATATTTTAATAAATTACCCAATATGAGGCAAATTACAATAAATAGGTATAGGAATGTTTATAGATAATTTGTAGAGAATTGAATTCCATTTCTGATAGGCTAAAAAATATATATTCTTCATTGAATTTCGAGTAATTCAATTTTTGACCACCTGTATAAGATACTCCAATACAACAAATGACAATCTATTTGACAGCATCTGAAGAGTAATTGTGCCAATATAGATCTTTTTTGAATGAACGTTGGCTGAGATGTGGGGTTTCAAAGAGCACGTTGAAATTTACCAAAAAAAGCTTAAAACTAAAAATAATTCGAAAACGAAACACGCTAGGTACCAATTACTTTTATGAAAGTTAACATATTTTTTTAGATACAATTAAAAACTGTAATAAAAACTATATCATTCAATTTAAAACAACGAAGTTGTGGTCTACTTCCGGTAGACCGGAAGTGGAGGCCATCTTGAAAATATTTTAGATCGAAAGTTCTGAATGGACAACCAATGTTACCAAAATTTGTAATCTCTACGAATAGTGGAACCTGAAAAAGTTCAAACGTAACCAGTTACATGAGACACCTGTATATATACAGGTGTTTCTAAATTGATGCCAAAGATTAACCTAACCCAACCCCTTCCCCACCGAGTTACAGCACTCTAAAGTTAGGGAAAAGAATTGTTTTTATTTAATAAATCCACTATGGAGGAATTTAGAAGAATGAAATATAGCAGATAGCGGATAACTGTTGCTAATAAAATGACACTTTTTAACGATTTTTATAACCAGAAAATGTTATTACCAGGGGCTGAAAAAATCAACCCCTATTATACTTTTCATCAGAACTTTTTAATGCGTCTACGTTTTTCTCTTTAAAAACTTGATTTAAATAGAGGGATTCGATACGCAACTTTTTTCTCTCTAGTCATTTTCTCCTAAAATTGTTAGTGTGATCACAAAAAAATAAAATAATACACAGGCTCAGGCGAATTAATTCAGAGATTGGTTATTATTAGTGAAAAACATGAAGTTATGTCAAATTGATCTCAGCATTATTTTATTTATTGTGATCAAACTAACAATTTGTTAGTTATAAAATGTCAAGAGATAAGAAAGTTGCAGATTTTTTCCCTTAATTTTAAAGAGCTATAGCTTGCAGGAAAAGGGTTTTTGCACAAAAAGTTATATGAAAAACACCCCTTAATTTTCGCTAAAAAATCACCCTCGAAATCTTTCGCATCAATTTAGAACCATCCTGTATATATGACTGGCACATAAACATATACAGGATCGCTGATATGTATGGAAATGGTCGATTATCTCCTAAAGTAAGATATCTAACGAAAAATGTTAAGATGCAAAAGTTTTACTATTTTTTAAAATCTATTACAATAAATATCAATTGCGTTTTCTTTAATGGAACAGCCTGTATATTATTCCGTATTTCGGTTCATTTTGAAATTCTAAACAAAATTCATGAAGCACATCATAAGTCTAAAATAACCGTTTTCGAGCTTTTAAAAAATTACGATTTTATCTTATTAGTTACGTAATTCATTTTTAGGTGCAAATTATTCAAACTATTTTTGTATTTTTGACATGTGTTATGTCACTGCGTTGCTATGGAAACGAGAAACTTTCAAAGGTAACTTGATGAACTGTGTATATAATCGACTCAAACATAAGACTGATTTTGAAAGTTCAATATCTCGAAAACAGTTAAGTGTAGGTGTATGATGTGCTACATGAATTTTGTTTAGAATTTCAAGATGAACCGAAATATAGAATAATATATAGGGTGTTCCATTAAAGAAAATGTAACTTTGTTTCGTCATAACCCTGTATATTTAATTTATCTTTATTGTAATAGACCGTTTCCATACATATCAGCGATTCTGTATATTGAAATTGAGTATTATAGAGTTCATTTGCAATTGATTAAGCCAAATATGCCTTATACAAAGTTGAATAGTTTAGTAATTATTTCAATTTTTTGGTTTTTGTGCATTTTCATTATATACTCCTACAAATATTGGAGTTTAGAGTTTAATAATAGTTTCTTTGGCATCATATTGACTTCTCTGGATAGACTACACTTTAATACACATTTTAAGATGAAGAATATTTTAAATATTTCGATTGTTTAAAAATACAGGGAAAAAATGTTTCGTGACTTAATGTTTAAGACAAACAACTTTTTTATGAGTGTCTATTCAAAATATTTGGCGTACAAGTTATGTTCAAAACTTCTCTGTTTTATAACCTTTCAAATGAGGTATTAAGCAGGGGTAAATTTCTTTCCAATTAGCTAATAATAAGATAAGCATTGATGAATGGTATAATTTTGACAATTTACCCAAAGTTAAAAAAATTCAAAATCTATTACGCCTATTATTTATTTTAGCGAATAGAAACTAAAAACGTTAATTCCTGATAAAAATAAATCGTAAGGTTGAGTTTAATTCATTAATAGCTATTGACTAAACAAATAATTTATAACAATTGGAGTGATTACAATTTTTATAGCTGGCAAAAGTTAGCCAAAAGGTAATTTAAGCAATTTTATGTATCACATCAACAAAAACAAGTAACCAAAGGTAATTAACTGCACCTCTAGTCCTAATACATGCACGAACTCTTTTCCTGATTTCCCATCTTATTATCTTACTTGTAATTAACGTTTTTTAAACATATAGCATACACTCTTTCTTTTATGTGGCCCCCACACATAAAAATCAAGGGATGTCAAATCAGGACTCCTTGCAGGCCATGGAATTGGTCCTCCTCTTTCAATTCAACGATTAGGAAACATTTCATTTAATGAATTTCGAACATTTTAGGAATTGTGTGGAGGGCATTTATATTATATTTATATTTTATTATTTCCAATGAGCTCTATCCACACGTTAAAGCTTTCGAACGGATTTTCGTCAGTCCAATAATGTAAATTATGAAGATTTGTTATACCTTTTCTATAAAACGTGGATTCATCTGTCCACAAAATTCTTTTCAAGAAATATCCATCTTCAAGAAAGGATTCAAATTGAATCCTTCGCTCCAGATCGCCTTCTTCAAGTGCTTGGAGAGGAGTATAGTGGTATGGATGATTGCCTATTTGTCGAATAGTTGACCATACCTTCCATTGTGATATCCCCAGATTAGTGGCTACTTCTACCTGGATGCTTCTTCGAATGCACCCAAAACTTCCTCTTCTGTATTAAGACGACTAGGTCCTATACGTTCGGCTTTTTTTAAATTACCAGTCTCAACTAAACCCTAGAACTCTCGACGAGCTGCTGCCGCGTTTCCATCACAGAAACCATCAATGTATCAAAACATACTCAAAACTTCTTGTAAACGAGGACATTTTACGCAAAATTAAACTATTGAACTATATTGCAAATGATCTCTATAATAATGCATTTCAATAAATACGTTCCCAGTCACCCTGTATATATATATTTTTTAAATTTGATTTATATCGTTTTTATTTTAGTTTTCTGACCCAAATGACTTAAACTTAGATAATTTAGAGATTGACGAAAGAAGTGATTCTTCCGACCGAGATTTAGAAATGATCCAAATGGAATTTACTCAGCATAAAACCGATTACTACAGAAATAAATTAGAATACCCTAATGTTACAGCGTAATTTACAAATTTTAATTTAAAGTATCTCATGATTACTTGTGTTTTTTTAGTGAAGTGTTGCAAGCTCAGGCTCATGGTTATGTGAGAGCCATCCAGTGGAATTTAAATTATTACTACAACGGTTGTTGTTCATGGAGTTGGTATTACCCCCATCATTATGCTCCTTACATATCGGATATTAAAGGGTTTTCCGACTTAAAAATAGAGTTTGATTTGGGGAAACCTTTTAAACCTTACGAACAAGTATAATTTTTTTAATTCAATCACTAAAAAAATTAATTCTTTTTATAGCTTTTAGCGGTATTACCACCTTTAAGCAAAAAGTTGTTACCAAGTGCATATCATAAATTGATGACGGACGAAAATTCAATGTTAAAAGATTTTTATCCGAACGATTTCATGACCGATTTGAACGGAAAGAAACACGATTGGGAAGCAGTCGTTTTAATACCGTTCATTAACGAAGTGTTATTATTAGAAGCAATGAAACCGTGCAATTTAGAATTAACACCCGAAGAAATTGAAGGAAATAAAGAAGGACCAATGTTGATTTATCAATACAGCAAAATGGATCAAGGACCTTATCCAGCTCCTGAATACTTCCCAACGATTCCTAATAATTTTACGACTTGTACAAAACTTAGTATAGACGATGTACGAGTCCCCAAAGACAAACTTATTAAAGGAGCATATCCGGGGGTTAAACAAGAGATTTATTTCCCTGGTTTTCCTACTACTAAACATTTAGAATACACGGTAAGCTTATAATTTTAAATTTTTCGATTAAATAATGAGATTTTGTTTCAAAAACAGCATCATGTTGCTAATATTAAAGTAAAAGTTCACGAACAATCCAGTCGAAATGAAAGTATGATTCTCACATTAAAAGTAAACGATGATGTTCCACCATTAGAGGAAGTTGCAAAAGATTTACTTGGAAAAACTGTTTATGTTGCTTGGCCACATTTAGTGGAAGCTTTGTAAGTAACTTTTTAAGATATTAATTTGTAATAATTAGGTTTTAAACTAAAATTTTTAATCTTTACATTTTAGAGTTGTCTCAGTTTCAAATAAAAATTTCCGCTACCACCACACAAAAGAACCAGGTAATTTTAACATCGTTGAAAATAAAGGAAACGTCGCTAAAGATTGGCAATTAGAGAGTTCAACAATCTCAGATCGGTAAATATCAATTATAATTTTAAACAATTTCAATTTAATCGTTCTTTTAAAGGTATAAATCTCGTTTTGGAATTGAAGTAGGTCCAGTCTCTATCTTAGTCCATGTAAAAGTCATGATTGGACGTAAATATATGTTTACTCAAGCTGGACGAGTTACACTAGAAAAGCAATGGGCTCCTATAACTTCTCCTTATCCATTACAATCAATTGTTAAAGAAATTTTGGTTAATGACGATGTTCATTCGGCGTTTAGAGATATTGAAAGTCTTTTCCCTGTTGGATCTTTATGCTTCATGTTGAGTCATCCATGTTATGGATCTTGTGGTACAGTGAAAGATAGCAAAGATTGCATTAAGAATGGACGATTAAAAATTTGCATGAAAAGCTATGATGAACCTAATTTGGATGATATACAAATATTAGAAACGCAAATGAGGACTAAGTATATGAATTCTCATGATGCTTCAACTCGAATTGGTAAATATATTTTTTTAATAATTTTTTCGAATTTATTTTATAAATTTTTTTTAGCAATTTCTAAGATTTTATTTTCGAGGATAACAGGAAGTATTTTAATATCTACAGTACCCAGATTCCAAACAACTGATGAATCTAGTAAAGTTAATGTTGGGCTTAACTTAAAATTTAGCAAAAGAAACGAAGAAATTCCTGGATATACAAGAAAAGATGGAAATTTTTGGTATTATTCGGAAAAAGCGGTGGAGCTTGTTAAGCAATTCAAAGAACTTTTCCCTGAAGTTTTTTCTTACGTTAATTTGCATAATGAAAATGTTTATTATTTGGAGGATATCTATCCGGAGGGGGATGGGTATAATTAATGCAGTTATCTTGGCTGTTTTGATTTGATTGATTTGTTGTAGAAAAGAAAAAGTCGCAGCAATTGTAAAGTGGATAAAGAGCCAAGAATATTATTCGTTTGAACGAAGATCTTGTGGAAGTTGTGTTTTGGAGCCTGAGGTTATAAAATGTTTAGAAAAAACTATTGATGAATATGTAAAGACAGCGAAACCAAAAATTACGAATATGCAAGTTAAACCGCATGTTTTATATAAAGTGAGTTTTATCTTCTTCTCCTGATTCTTATATTTGATGGCGTTGGATAAATCTTTTTCCTATTCCTCCATCTATTTCTTCCACTCCTTCCAGTTCTTAGCTAATTCCTTTATTAATAAAACGACAAAAACTTCTTCCTTGCTATTTATTAATACAGGCTGTTTCTAAATTGATGCGAAATATTTTAAGGGGTTATTTTTCAGCAAAAGTTAAGGGGTATATAACATTTAGTTCTAAACCCCTTCTCCTCCAAGTTATAGCCATCTAAAGTTATGGGAAAAAATCCATTTTTTTAATTTTATAACTAACAAATTGTTAGTTTGATCACAAAAAATAAAATAATGCTGAGATCTATTTGACATAACTTCATTTCTTTGACTAATAATAACCAATCTCTGAATTAATTCGCTTGAGCCTGTGTATTATTTTATTTTTTTGTGATCAAACTAACAATTTTAGGAAAAAATATCAAGAGACAAAAAAGTTGCGTATTGAATTCCTCTATTTCAATCAAAGTTTTTAAATAGAAAAATGTAGACGCATTAAAAAGTTCTGATGCAAAGTATTATAGAGGTTAATTTTTTCAGCCCCTTGTAATAACATTTTTGGGTTATAAAAAGTGTCATTTTATTAGCAACAGTTTTCTGCCAAATTTCATTCTTCTAAATTCCTCCATAGTGGAATTATTAAATAAAAACAATTTCTTTCCTCGTAACTTTAGAGTGCTGTAACTCGGTGGAGAAGAGGAATTTTTGTTGAAAAATCACTCCTTGAAATCTATCGCATCAATTTAGAAACACTCTGTATATTTGGGACTAGTTTCGATCTAAATGCCCATCTTCAGCCAAATATATATGCGCAACATACAAAATATTATACAAAAACCCAATTAATATGATCATTGCTTACTTACTGTCAAAAAGGAACTAATGGTAAAAATATCTTGGTTAAAAATTTCACTATAATAACAACATTTATGTTTATCTCGATCAATCTTATAAATTAACACTTAAAAACTACCGACAAAGAACCAAGAAAACAATTAAAACACAAACATTCAGCGTTGAGTACTTGCCGAAAATTGAGGTTATATATTACTAAGATATTTTTACCATTGGTTCCTTTTTGACAGTAAGTAAGCAATGATCACAATAATTGGGTTTTTGTGTAATGTTTTCTATGTTGTGCATATAGATTTGGCTAAAGATGGGCATTTAGCCCGAAACTAGTCTCGTATATACAGGGTGGTTCAGTTTTTAATCGCGAAACATTACTAGGACATAGTACTTGCCAAAATAACACAACTTTTTTTTATACAGGGTGTATCTGATGACTGCAACAAACTTCAAGGGGTGCTTCTTTAGTGAATTTTAAGGGTACTTTAATATATGAACGCTATGGAATATTAACATTCAAAAATATGGGTTGTAAAGCTCATTCTTTAGTGGTACTTTTTTGTCTCTTTAGTATTTTCCTTAAAGTTAATAGTTTCCGGGGAAAAAAATAAAATGTCGTGCCATGTACCGCTGTGTCGCCATGTTTAGTTAAAATTATTCTAAATGTTGGCTTTGAGAACTTGTAAGTTTCATTTACAGTGAATCCTTATAATTTTTGATAATTATTAATAATTTTTGATTAATATTAAGCAAGAGTATCAATTTTTTAATATTGTTTAAAACAACGTAATTTGTTCAGACAAACATTCATCTTAATTATGGTTTTTCTTTGAAAATCATAATTAAATTGGTGTTATTTAGTTAGTACTAGATCCTAGTAAGTGCACAACTTCCAAGGCCAGCTATAAAGAAAAGTTTTCTTTTAATAATAGTAGCACTTTACAGTACAATGTAACATGTTTTATTTTTTTACGCTAAAACTATTATCGTTAAAGAAAAAACTAAAGAGACAAAAAAGTACCAAAAATGAATAAGCTTTACAACCCATATTTTTTTATGTTAATAATATTCCATGGCATTAAAAAGGTGTTATAAAAAAATCAAAGGGGTTGTGAATGTCATCCCCTTAGTGGGCGCTAGGGAAGTTTAAGGTACTTACAAAATTTCAAATTCTACGGTTTACTTATATCCGAAATAAAAGATAAAATGTAAATTTTTGGCTCAACTTTGACAGCTCTTAGCTCGAAAACAAAAGAGTTGCGATCCTATGTTGATATAAAAAACGTGTTATTTTGGAAAGTACTACGTGTTAGTAAAGTTTCCTGATTAAAAGCTGAACCAACCTGTATTAATAAATAGCAAGAAAAAAGTTTTTGCTTTATTAATACTTAATTAACTTGCAACATGGATAAAATTTATTATTTTTTCCTCCCACTGCTTCTTAGGTCTTCTCTTCTTTTCCTTATCCTTATTATTTGCTTCAAATACATTTTTTACTATTGTGTTATGTTCCATTCTAATTATCTGGGCGTACCAGTTTAGTGCTTTCTCTCTATTTTGCTGATTTTTTCTCTTGATATACTCCCAGTCTTATTTCCTCATTACTTATTCTATCCCACTTCGTCTTCCCCACTATTTTCCGTAAAAATTTCATTTCCATGATTCATTGGCATATGTTAATATTGAGACTGCCACCGAGTTATACACTTTCAATTTTATCCTGTTATCTATCTCCTTCTTCATAAAAATTATTCTGTTTAGAGTATGATATACGTTATTTGTTTTCCTTATTCTTGCATTTATGTCTAAATCTATCCTTCCATTTTGTGATATTATACCGCCCAAGTACTCATGATGATACTTCTTCTATCTTTTGTTCCTTAATAAATAATTCTTTCGGGTTACTTTTTATTTCCTTTTTATTTATTATCACGATTTTACATTTATTTACGTTCAATTCTAGGCCCATCTTTGCAATTTCTTCTGTCCATATTTCAACCAACTTTATAATTCTCTGCTAGCAGCACTCTATTTTTACAGGTTCCAAACTTTTATAATCCATTACTGTTTGATATTTATTTGTTCTTGTATTTTTTATGACTCTGTCCATTAATATTATAAATAACAAGGGTTTTAGGCTATCACCTTGTTTTATCCCCTTACTCATTTCAAAAGTTTTTGATGTTTCTCCCTTCATTTGTAGTATGCCCTTGACTTTCTTGTACTGGTTTTAAATTATTTTTGTTAGCTTTTGTGGTACCATTAGTTGTTTTAGACACTTCCATATAATACTAAGTTTGATCATGTCAAAAGCTGCTTTTAAGTCCAAGAATATTAGATATAGTTCATTGCCCTTCTTTATTTTCTTTTCAATGATGTCGTTCGTATGTTTGCTTGCTCTGTATGCTGCTTGTTCATCTTCTAGTTTATTTTCCACTACTCTTCTTAACCCTTTTTCTATTATCTTTGTTTGAAAGTTAATTTCTAATTTGAAACTTGTAGAAGATATTATCTTCCCAATCTTTTGGGATTGTTTCCGACTCCCATGCGGTTTTATATATATGCACTTAGAAGTCACTCCTTCCCTCTTATTCCCAAATATTTTATCATCTCCGGATTTATCTTGTCATTGCTGCAAGTCTTCTCTGTTTTCCTTTACATCATTGCCTCTCCTAATTCTGCCATTGTAACCTTTTCAGTTGCTATATTTTTGTTTGTGTCCGTTTTCCACCCTTGAACTTTTCTGCATAAAAATCCGCCCATATGTCCATAATTTCCCTTGTAGTTGTCTTTATCTCGTTGTTTTTATCTTTGACGGCTTTTATTTGTTTCCTTTGATCTCCCTTCAGTATTCTTATTTGATTCTGAAGCTTTTCTTTTTTGCCTCCATTGCCATATTCTTAGCTACAAATCTGTTCATTCTATAGTTTGCTCTATCCTCCTCAAATTCGTTCTTATGTATTTCTTCCATGACTCTTTCTTCTTCTTGATTACCTGTCGGACCTCTTCATCCTATCAGTGTACTCTCTTCGCCTGATTATTATATTTTCTCATTCCACACACTTTTATTACACTTTATTTCCACCTTTCCTCTAGTGTTAAATTCTCTGTTTGTTTTAGTCTTCGAAATTCATTGTTTGTTTTTTCTTGATATTTTAATCTTTCTTCCTCCTTTTTTTCTCTGTTTATTTTCGTGTAGGTTTTCATCTCTTCTCTTTCGATTTCTATATTATTAATAGTTGCCATGACTAGTCTGTGATTGACTCTGGTTTGGAGATTCTGGGTGTATGTGATGTAATCAATAATACTTTTAGGATTCTCCTCTGACTCCACATAGTGTTTCCAATCAATAAGTCGTTTATTTAACAAAATTCCACCATTCTTTGCCCCTTTCTATTCATCATTGCCTCTCCCTGATCTACATATTCTCCTATACTATCTCCCCCCTTGTGTATATCATTACCTATTCTCTCATTCCAGCCTCCCATTATAATTACTTCCTCTCTTTTTTTTTTTCACTTCATAATTCCCATTATTTCTATCCCAAACCTTTCCATCTCCTACATTATTTCCCTTTCCTTTCGCGTTAAAAATTATAATATTCAACTGAATATGTTGGGTTTTATGAAAATCGTAAAAAAAATATATATTAAATAATTTTTTTAGCCCGATTTATTTGTTGGTAACGTTCCCCCCGATCAAAACACCAAGTTTCAACTCTACGACCGTGTTGTAAACGTAAGAGAAAGTTACACGGTACCATTCGGACTTGAAGGAACGATAATAGCCGTACATGATATTGGAAGTGGAAATGATTTGGATAAAGTTTACGATGTATTATTTGATAAACCATTTGCGGGTGGTTTACAGTTAAATTGCTCCCCGAACCGCGGTTATCGCTTACCTCGTTCAGCTTTAATTAATAAATCGCATGGTAGAAGAATTTACGAACAAAAATGCGGCACCGTCCAACAAATTCCAAAACAACATCAACAGCAACCGATCCAAGACACGCAACAAAAGTATTTTTATCCCCAATATTATCCTCAAAGTAATCCGCTTCGACCTATATACAATATACCACCACCCGCCGTCCCATATGTATTTAAAAATCAGAATCGGGGAGCACCGTTTTATAACGTACAACCGAATTTTACGCAAAACGTTCCAGTCGGCGTTTCACAAAATGAGATGTTTACGCAGCAAAGAAGTTTTCATGGCGTACAGGTTATATATATATATTTTTGAGTGATTGATGTTTAATTGATTTATTTTAGATTTTAAGTAAATCAAAACCAAAACAAAATAATCCAGCATCATCGGAGAAAGGGCCTAAAGAAAATTCAACAGAAAAGGTAATTTTAGAGTAAATTAATGTTTGTTGAAGAAAAAAATCCCTCCTTGAATTCCCCAAAAACTACGTTAAATTCATTCATTATTTCCTGTCGCTCCTAGTGGAGCTTAAGACAGCAGCTTAAATCAGCTTGGCAGCAAGGCGTTTCATTTCTCTCCACGTTTTCCCGGTTAATATTGCATCTTCCCCAACTTTTTGGGCGTCCTCGTCTCCGTGTTCCTTGGGGGTTTTAGTTAAACTAAAAATTTAACTTTGTGAAATTCGTTTTTAGGTAAACGATAATCACACGGATCTTTTGAAACAGATGTTAAAAATTGACAATTCCCCCAAACAATGTGTCAATAATCAATCGATCAGTATCGACGACATTTTCCAAGTAATAAAGATTTAAGCCTCTAATCCAAAAACTGATTTGAATCTCTTAATATTTTTAGCAACACAAAAAAGTGGCGCAACCTCAACCGCATCAAAAAGCAACCCGTCCGCAACAATCTCAAGAAAGTAAACCACCACTTAAACAACCCCAAAACATCCCAGCAGTAGAAAAATTTAATACAGTCCAACTTTTAGAATACTTACAAATGCACGGTTTAGGAGTGCCTCATTATAATTATTTGGATTTACCCAACGCAAAAGTACAAGCGCAACTTGTTCATCCGACAACGGGTAATTTGGTGGTTGGGACGCCTTCAAACGATAAACAATCTGCGTGTGAAAGTGTTGCCGGTGAAGTTTTAAAGTTGATTTCGGGACCTGGAAAACCATTACCCCCTCAAATTCCCCAACCACCGAAAACTTGGACGGCGCAAAATAAAAATGTAAATAAAAAACAAGGGGTAAAAAACTTAAATGATTTAATAAACATAATAAAAGAATCTTATTGATTTTTTAGCCTTCTTCAAAATCGTCGACTCCATCTAAAAAATCTCAATCATCCCAAGAATTAGGTGGAAAAAGGAATTCAGCTTCAGCTTTTGTACCTTTACAAGCTGTAAGAAAACACATTGCAAAAAATGTTACACCTCCCAAAGAAAACGTAGAAAATAAGGAGGGTTTGAAGAAGGGCGAGAAAAATAAACACGCCAAAGAAGAAAAAGTAGGAGTTACTGGAGTTGATATGCAAAATGTTCCTACAAAGGTAACAATAAATCATTTATTTTTTTGATTTAACCAATCAATTATTATTTTGTAGTCTGTTGAACCAGTTGTGTCGCAAAAACCCATGAGAAATCGTAAAATGAGACTGGCAGCTAATTTCGACATGAAACCCAGTATTTAAGTTTTTTTTTGTTAATATAACAAGTCTTTATCTATAAATTAAGTAATTATGTATATTTTAATTTTAGTCTTAAAGTAAGGCTATGTAAATTGGCCGAATTTAAATTTCTTTTTATGTTGATCTTTGTTAATAATTTGTACAAGATCTCAAATGAAGATGGACAAATATAAATATATTATTGTATTAAATTGTATTGTGTTAATTGTACCAGTAGGTATTTTTAAAAAATACATTTTTATTTTATATCCTTCCTGGTTTTGATGGACATTTGCAGGGAGTTTTATACAGAGCTAGACTATTCTTGTGGACTTGTAGTATTTGTGGAAAAAATTGACCCTTTTGCTATTAACTTGCTTTTTGCTAAAAGCCTTCTTGAGAGAGGTGAAGAACATGACAGTACTTTCTCGTCCAAGCGCTGCATAATGACTGTAAAAGAACTGGAAACGCACTGAGTTGTGATAACAGAGTTTCTCACTCTGGGATTGTTGGCAATAAAGCGTCGGATGAATGAAACATAGGATTGGACTATGTAGAGATTGATTAAAATAAAACAAAAATTAATTTTTGAAATTTTAGAGATTTATTGTAGAATATATGTAACAATGTCCCTATGTAAGCAAAGCCCTGTATCATATTGTGTATTTTAAAGAGAAGCAATAACAAGTAACATTCCAAGAAATTGAAAATAAGTTTTTCTATATATATTTATAAATATATATATAATAAACATTTACATAACAATAATGTCCTATTTTGGCAAAAAAAAAATTAATTCTTATTCGAAATAATAAAGATAATTACAATAAAAAGCGGTTTTGGCAAACCGCGGTGACTAAGTTACAGGAGACACTTAAATATTAAATTATTAAGCCAACTAATTACTACTGTGTAGCACCATATCTGCTCATTGTTTTTTTTTTAATAATAATCCTTTTACAATTAAATGCTTACGAAAGCTGTGTACAAAGGTATTTATTATGTATCTACAAATAAATAAAAAGGGGATTAACTCACGCTTATATAGGCAGTATACTCTCAACGTACCCAAACACTAACTAAGTATACCCAAAATAAAGAATAGGAAACGAAGAAGTTGTATTGTAAAAGTTTTGATATTAGATTTTGTTATTTAAGGCCACCGAATTCGAAGGATGATTTTATTATTTGATTTGTGTTATAAGGACGAAAGAGAAAATCGCGATCTATAAAAATATTATTTGTTTTTTTAAGCATTACTAACTATTAATAAGGCAATTTTTATATCTGTACGTCGTTAATATAAAAAATAGAATCGTCAATAAATATTTCAAAAAAGTATTCATCTCAAAGTTCCAATTTGAATTAGACCTTAAAGACAAATTATAATGTTTATACTGAGTGGTTATAAAAAAAAAACTGTCGTAAAATAATTTTAATAACCATCCAGTATATTATATATTTTTTTAATAATTTTTTAACAAATACTTTTTTGTGTAGTGCAGGTAAAAAAAATATCTGCTTGTTTGAATGTCGTGTTTCGTGTGTAAATGTGTTTTGTGTATCGTGTATGTGTATTTAAAATGTTTTGTGTGTTCGTGTACATTTTTTATCACTAGATCTTTCATACTTTCTTTATTTCTCCATTTTTTTTTCAACATTTTAATTAAATAAAAACTCTTTACATATAAAAAAATTTGCTCCTACCACAAAAAAAAATTAATTTTGATTCTCCTTATCACATCTTTCCTAATTAAAATTTCGACAAAATTAGGAGCAAACTTTTTGGTAAACTTTTTTTACATTAACTTCTGTTTAGCACATTCGGGGCAGATAATATCTTCCTGATCGGTGATAAAACCTCTTCCTACCAAACTGGTATGGCACATAGCACAGAAGAAACAATCGTTGTGCCAATGACGGTCCTCGAACGAAATGAATTTCGTTCCTCCGATACCCGTAATTGGTTTGCTGCATGCAAAACATCTTTTTGCGAACAACTCCCCGAAGCAATCGGCACAATAAGGCTTGTCATCGCGGCTGGTGAAACGAGCACCCGCCAGGCTTGTTTGACAATGAGTGCAGGTAAAACATTCTCTATGCCATGGTTCATTTTTATACGTCACTCCTCCACTTGTTATGACCTAAAAATAAAAAAGAAAAATGTTTAAATAAAACAAATTTATGGAAATTTTATTTATTGTCAAGTTTCCTTTTTTAACATTTAACGACGCCAATAAATTTTAATAGGATATTAAAGAAATAACAATTAATTTAACAACCTTTTTTTGGTTTTTTATTGTTTGGGTTTTTTAAATGCTAATTATAAGTTTGTTTTTGGTAAGTTAATGATTAATAGCTCATTTTCAACCTACTCACAACCTTTTTAAAGATATATTTTTGTTCTGCTCATAATTATAATTCTGGTTGAGTTGACTCATTATTATGACAAGATGGTCTCAACCTAACCTCAAAATCAATTAAATTTGGTTGAAAGAAATAAAACAAGTCTAAAACTAGTTTCTAGTTGAGTTCTTGGCGATTTTGTGTGATGATGAGTCTCGATTATGACATTTATGGGTTGAGATACATAGAAAAGAACGATTTATTTGGTCGATTCATTATTATGACATGTAATGGACTCAACCTAACCTCAAAATCAATAAAATTAGGTTATAAGGAATACAACGAGTCTAAAACTGGTTTCTAGTTGAGCTCTTAGTGATTTTCTTTGATAATGAGTCTCGCTTATGACATTTATGGGTTGAAATTCATAGAAAAAAGAGATTTTATTTGGTTGCGTCATTATAATGACATATAATGGTCTGAACCTAACCTCAAAATCAATGAAATCAAATAGTAAGAAACACAACAAGTCTAAAACTGATTTTTAGTTGAATTCTTGATAATATTCTTTGATGACGAGTCTTGATTATGACATTTATGGGTTGAGATTTATAAAAAAGAGCGATTTTATTTGGTTGATTCATTATTATGACATAAATGGTCCGAACATAACCTTAAAATCAATGAAATTTGGTTGTAAGAAATACAACGAGTCTAAAACTGGTTTTTAGTTGAGTTTTTGGCGATTTTCAGTGATGATGACTCTCGATTATGATATTTATGCGTTGAGATTCATAGAAAAGAGCGATTTTATTTGGTTGATTCATTATTATGACTTGAATGTAGCCCCAGGGATCTTTGATAGGAAAACTTGGGACTGATTGTATGTCGAAATTCGAAATCCCACCGTAAGATGGCATTAGCATCTATACTGAAATAATTTAATTAAACTAATAATTTTATTATTAATAGTGGGAATGATGAGAGACAGCAATAACAATTATTACCAGTATCATTCTTTTAATTTAAAAAGTATAGATTCCAATTCGTGTTAAATTTTTAAATTTGCCGCTAACTTCAAGTTTTAAAATTTTAAAAGTTGAAGTTTGTTCAGAATGACAGATGCAAATGTCATTTTAAAGTGATTTTTCGGCAAGAGCATAATAAAGTAATAATGGTATGATTAAATAATTAGATTATAATTGAGATTATAGCTTTGTTTCAACTAACGTTTAACTGGTTGGAAGCTCGTCAGATGCAATCTCACATGTTATATGATGCAATGATATTAAAATGTGGCGGCATTATTTGACAGGTGTAATTGCCATAAGTAATTGCATCTGAGGAATTCCCAACCAGTCGGTACGTTAATTGAACACTTTCCAAATAGTTATTCTATGGTTGGAGTTTTTATATATAAACCGAATCCAATCTGTATTCTAGTGGTTCGGTTCTTAGCTGAATAATTCCAAAGTATCCCCAACAGATGGCGCCACATGCGTTCAATTTTTAGTACGAAGTTTTTGATTAACCTTACCTTTTGTGTAACCTTAAAATCAATGAAATCAAGTTGTAAGAATCACGAGTCTAATTGTAAAACTGGTTTCTAGTTGAGTTCTTGGCGATTATGACATTTATGGGTTGAGATTTATAGAAAAGAGCGATTTTATTTGGTAGATTTATTATTATGACATGTAATGGTCCGAACCTAAGCTCAAAATCAATTAAATCAAGGTGTAAGAAACACAACGAGTCTAAAACTGGTTTCTAGTTCAGTTATGGGTTAAGATTCATAGAAAAGAGCGATTTTATTTGGTTGATTCATTATTATGACATGTAATGGTCTGAACCTAACCTCAAAATCAATGAAATTAGGTTGTGAGAAACACAACGAGTCTAAAACTGGTTTCTAATTAAGTTTTTGACAATATTCTTTGCTGATGAGTCTTGATTAAGACATTTATAGGTTGAAATTCATATAAAAGAGCGATTTTGTTTGGTTGACTCATTATTATGACATGTAATGGTCTGAACCTAACCTCAAAATCAATGAAATGAAGTGTTAAGAAACACAACGAGTCTAAAATTGGTTTCTAGTTGAGTTCTTGGCGATTTTCTTTGATTATGAGTCTCGATTATGACATTTATGGGTTGAGATTCATAGAAAAAAACGATTTTATTTGGTTGATCCCTTATTATGACAAGTAATGGGCTGAACCTAACCTCAAAATCAAAGAAATTAGGTTGTAAGAAATACAACGAGTCTAAAACTAGTTTTTAGTTGAGTTCTTGGCAATATTCAGCAGAATGTGGTAGTTTTTCAGGGATTTTTTTTATTTTTGTAGCTTAGGTTACCGACACTTTAACTTTTTGACATGTGTCATAAATATAATACATCAAAACTAAGGAATAAGAGTCATCCACACAAATAATGATTAATATTTACATTTTGAGCTGATAATGGGTTTCATATCTTTTGTAATTTATTTTTGTTTTCTTACCTTGTCGCATTTAATGCAACGAGTAGCATATTTCTCTTCGTAACACTTGGCGCAATAGATTTCTTGTTCCCTCGGGATGAAACTTTGAGTTCCAATCGGTGTCTTACAAACAACGCAACAGAAACATTTTTCGTGCCACTGCCTCGTCTTGTATTCCATTTTCTTCGTTCCTGCAACACAAAAAAAGAATTATCTTTAACCAAGAAAGCGATATCGAATTTTTTTAAAGTCATGATTCGATTTCAATGTCTCAGCTTCAAGTTTTTAACATTGACCCATATAACCCACACTCGTCTCTTCCATATACAGGGATAACGTACGGTTTAGAAAAGAAACAAAGTTGGTGGCAATGCCATTAAAGGAAAAAAATCGAAGTAAAGTAATTATAAAGACGTGGTGTGAAAAAAATTCTTTGTTGTTGTCTTTAAGATAAATATTAATCTTAATGAGGTAATTCGGTCTTCAACTTTGAACTTTTTAAGATTGACCAAAAATTACTCACCACTATAATTAAGTATGAATGTAGAATTTAACAAGGATATCAATTTCACTTTCAATTTTTATTACCTGCGTTGAATTAAATAATAATAATATTAAGTAAAATTAAAATGTGTAAGTTTTTTTATGGTTTCGTGACCGCAAAAAACGTATCGAATATCGTGCATCCCTTAGGGGCATGGGATTTTCAGACCCAATTTTAAATAATATACTAGGAACCGGTTGACACCAAGGTTTTCTAACGCAGTCACGATATTGACTCTATTTTATTTATTTGTTGCCCTAGACTTGGAATAGTTCCTAAACAATTACCTAGGTACCATTAAATTTCGCTTTCATAAATCCTAAATGTCTTTAGAACAAATTAATTATTTCTTATAAATTGATTTTTAATTTTAAAAGTATCGAACCTAAAGGTAACTTTGTAGGATCTCCCATTAAACACTCAGAACCCGCAGAACACTTAAAACTTTTATTTTGTCCAGGTAATTCCATTGAAAGAATAGCAACATCTTCATTTCGTTCCTTAGCCTTTTTAATTCTATCTTCACCAACAGTTTTAGTTTGAAGTTTTAACCCACTCATTTGATCACTCAATATAGTAGCCATTTTAATTATTCGAAAAAAACTTTTAATTTAAAATTAAAAAAAATATATATAAACTTTAACTTGTAACACTTTCTGTTTGTGTCATCGCGAGCAAGTCTTTTAAAGGACTGTTGTTAAACCGATCGTGTCAGGCCGTCTCATATGACTGAGGATTTTCAATTGACTGACGACGGCCGGTGTGTTTGTTCCACCTTTTCGTCGGATATGGTAGAAACCAAAATTGGTCCTCACAAGAAAAGAATGAAACCTACGCGTTAATTGAATCTAAAGCTCGTTAGTTCAAATAATCTTCACGTTGAAGGTAAGTGAGCCTACGCAGACTTTGTGGCGGCGATAATCTTTCTTTTCTAACTCTGACTAATAACATGGAGTGTTTTTTTCTAAAGAGAAATTCCTAGTAATGCAATTAAAATTTTTTGGGCTTTATCTGTAATGTGGTTTTAATCATTGTTGGTGTATTTTTGAGATTCTGGTTGGAATTTTTATGCTTTATCATCGTAGTTATGATTAAAGTAATAAATTTTGTTACTCAACGAATTGATATTTTAGTTTTTAAATTTTATCTCAAAATTTTTCTAATCCAATATATTTAAAGTTATGTACTGCCTTAAAGAGGAATGTTTAAGCTTTAATTTATGACATAAATCATTTCTTATCTCTTAAAAGTAAAATTAGGACGACGATTTGAAAATGTTCGATTTCTAATAATATTATGACAACCTAATAATTGATTTATTAAGTTTTATCTCAAAATTTTTATAATGCAATGTATTTGAGGTTATATACCAGCTTGAAGAGGAAAGTTTCAGCTTTAATTTAAGGTATAAAACATTTCTTATCTCCTAAAAATAAAGTTAGGACGATGTTTTGAAAGGCTTCAAATTTTGCCTATTTTAGGTTAAGTTTAAAATTGATTCTGTAAGTTTTATCACAAAATTTTTCTAATCCAACATATTTAAAGTTATATACTGCCTTAAAGAGGAATGTTCAAGCTTTGATTTAAGACATAAATCATTTCTTATCTCTTAAAAATAAGGTCAGGCCGACGATTTGAAAATGTTCGATTTCTAATAATATGACAACCTAATAATTGATTTATTAAGTTTTATCTCAAAATTTTTATAATGCAATGTATTTGAGGTTATATACAAGCTTGAAGAGGAAACTTCCAGCTTTAATTTAAGGTATAAAACATTTTTTATCTTCTAAAAATAAAGTTAGGACGATGTTTTGAAAAGCTTCAAATTTTGCCTATTTTAGGTTAAGTTTAAACTTGATTCTGTGAGTTGTATCACAAAATTTTTCTAATCCAACATATTTAAAGTTATATACTGCCTTAAAGAGGAATGTTTAAGCTTTAATTTAAGACATACATCATTTCTTATCTCCTAAAAATAAGGTCAGGACGACGATTTGAAAACCTTCGATTTCTAATAATATCATGACAACCTAATAATTGATTCTTACGTTTTATCTCAAAATTTTTATAATGCAATGTATTTGAGGTTATATACCAGCTTGAAGAGGAAAGTTTCAGCTTTAATTTAAGGTATAAAACATTTTTTATCTCCTAAAAATAAAGTTAGGACGATGTTTTGAAAAGCTACAAATTCCTTCAATTTTAGGTTAAGTTTAACATTGATTCTGTAAGTTTTATCACAAAATTTTTCTAATCTAATGTATTTAAAGTTATATACTGCCTTAAAGAGGAATGTTTAAGCTTTAATTTAAGACATAAATCATTTCTTGTCTTCTAAAAATAAGGTCAGGACGACGATTTGAAAATGTTCGATTTCTAATAATATTATGACAATTTAATAATTCATTTCTTAAGTTTTATCTCAAAATTTTTATAATGCATTGTATTTAAGATTATATACCAGCTTGAAGAGGAAAGTTTCAGCTTGAATTTAAGGTATAAAACATTTCTTATCTCTTAAAAATAAGGTTAAGGCGATGTTTTGAAAAGCTACAAATTCCTCCAATTTTAGGTTAAGTTTAACATTGATTCTGTAAGTTTTATCACAAAATTTTTCTAATGTAATGTATTTAAAGTTATATACTGCCTTAAAGAGGAATGTTTAAGCTTTAATTTAAGACATAAATCATTTCTTATCTCCTAAAAATAAGGTCAAGACGACTATTTGAAAATCTCCGATTTCTAATAATATTATGACAATCTAATAATTGATTTATTAAGTTTTATCTCAAAATTTTTATAATGCAATGTATTTAAGATTATATACCAGCTTGAAGAGGAAAGTTTCAGCTTTAATTTAAGGCATAAAACATTTCTTATCTCCCAAAAATAAAGTTAGGATGATGTTTTGAAAAGCTACTAATTCCTCCAATTTTAGGTTAAGTTTAACATTGATTGTGTAAGCTTTATCACAAAATTTTTCTAATCCAACATATTTAAAATTATATACTACCTTAAAGAGGAATGTTTAAGCTTTAATTTAAGACATAAATCATTTCTTATCTCCTAAAAATAAGGTCAAGGCAATATTTTGAAAATCTTCGATTTTTATATATTTCAGGTTGGGTTAAAAATTGATATCTTAGCTTTTAATTTTTATCAAAACGTCGTCTTGCCCTTATTTTTTTAACATAAGATATGATTTATGTCTTAAATTAAATAAAAATTTTTAATTTTTATTTCCCACTGAACAGTACAGTAAGAAAAGCAACCAATAAAAGCTTATAACTTCTAAATCACACATAAAAATCACGGAAGATTTTTGAATTAATCTTAATATACATAAAAATAACTAGTAATTAATCAATCATCATTAAAAAAGTTACATTGATTTTTTTTTATGATCGTAAAAGTTATAAGTGATGATTTAAGAGAAAATTGGCAGGTGCACACCTACAATCAACTTAAACAAACTAAGCGAACGTGAACAAAAATGACCGCATCCGTTAAAATAGACATGATGTAATGTAACACCTTAAGCCCAACTCGTTTGCCACAACTTCCTATTAATCTATTAAGATTACAAATAACCATTTGTTTGTGGCACGTCTCGTAAATGAATTACGAACACCTTTCAATGTTAAATCGAAACGTTAAGAATTATTACCAACACTTATTTAAAAGATTTTCTTCAATTTATTCAAAAAATTACTTATTTCAAAACAAAGTTTGCACGAAACGTTAGACCGTCAACTCTTCAATTTCCCCTTAATGTTTATTCAAACATTTTAAAATAAAAGGATTGGATTACGTAAGAGATTTAAAAAGAAATCTCCTTTTATATTTTCAAGTACAACACGAAGAAAAGTTATTAAAATTATTTACTGTGCGTTATTATAAAGTGTTCAACTTGATCTGGTTAAATCTTTAAAAAAGTCTTGGTATGATTCATCGTGACCTACCTAATAAACATTTTTATATTAACGAGGGGGCCCCGTTTCGCCCAAATATGGACACTATGCTAAAACGTTTGCAGTGTCGTTCGTTTAAAAAAAAGGGTACCGTGCAAAACTTTCGATATCTACAAAATTGACATTTCGTTTCCTCTGATGGAAACGAACCGAGCTGACGACGACATGTTTTCACCATCGAGCCATATAAAGGCTGGAATTTCGCATTAAGAATTTTAAGGTCGTCGACGAACGAAGAACGACTTGACGCGATTTTATTTTATCTTTCTAAATTTGTTTCAATTTAAAAAACGAACAATTATGTCATTGATCGTATTATGACGTGTCGTAAATTTTTTTATAACCAAGTTTTGGATTCTAAAGATTTTACAATCAAAATTTAATAGCTGACAATAGTATCAAAGTAAACAGACGTTCTTTTGTTGAAAAATAAAAGAGGATTGTTTGTGTTGATGATAATTAAATTAATTTGAATTTGTTTGCTCTCTTTGTGTTTGTGAGATCGTAAAGTTGTTTGATTACCGAAGTAATTATCACTGTTGCGACACCGAAAACAAGAATTTCCATTATTCAAATGCAAGAAAAAAATTGTTATTGATGTTAAACGCTTTAAACAAGATGATAAAATCGGTTTATGATCACTTAAAAGTATTATTTTTTTGATTTTTAGAATTTAATAGATGGGTCTGTTTGAAACTATTGACTGGAAGATATTGACCTTATTTTTAAGAGATAAGGAATGATCTATACCTTAAATTACAGCTGAAACCTCCCTTTTCGGGATGCTGTATAATTTTCAATATATTGTGTTGTAAAAATTTTGAGATAAAACTTAAGAAATCAATTTTTAGTTTATCATAAAATTAATAGAAATTGTAGTTTTTTAAAATAACGTCTTGTCCTTATTTTAAGGAGATAAGGAATAATTTTTGCCTTAAATTAAAGCTGAAACATTTCTCTTAAGCTTTTATTTAAAACATAAATTATTCCTTCTAAAGATACGACGATGTTTTGAAAAGTTTCGATTTTTATCAATTTCAAATCAGGTTAAAAATGGTATTTTAGTTTTATTTCAAAATGTTTATAATGCAATATATTTAAAGTTATATACTGGCTTAAAGAGGAATGTTTAAGATTTCATTTAAGACATGATACATTTCTTATCTCTTAAAAATAAGGTCAGGGCGATGATTTGAAAATATTTGATTTCTAATAATATTATGACAACGTAATACTTGATTTCTTAAGTTTTATCTCAAAATTTTTATAATGTAATGTATTTAAGATTATATACCAGCTTGAAGAGGAAAGTTTCAGCTTTAATTTAAAGTATAAAACATTTCTTATCTCCTAAAAATAAGGTTAGGACGGTGTTTTCAAAAGTTTCAAATTTTGCCAATTTAGGTTAAGCTTAAAATTGATTCTGTAAGTTTTATCACAAAATATTTCTAATCCAATGTATTTAAAGTTATATACTGCCTTAAAGAGGAACGTTTCAGCTTTAATTTAAGGCATAAATCATTTTTTATCTCCTAAAAATAAGGTCAGGACGACGATTTGAAAATCTACGATTTCTAATAATATTATGACAACCTAATAATTGATTTCTTAAGTTTTATCTCAACATTTTTATAATGCAATGTATTTAAGATTATATAC